CATCCTCTTATAGCTTAGCAACACTATTCTGTGGATTTGTTTCTGACAAAGTGGAATCCTCTTGTTTATTATTAGCTTTCAACAGGACAAAGAACAGTTTCTTCCCTTGCCTCCATCTTGCTACGCCACTGGATTTACTAACAGTGACTACCAATAACTTTCTGACTGGTCCTTCTTATTCAAGATAGGGGAGGTCATAACCTTGAGATATCATCTGTCCCATCAGTAAAGGACAGTGCTGTCATCTACATACATGTGAAGAATTACAACCATAGCACCCCTCCCCAACACACACAGGTAGAGAGGGTATCATCTCTGTAGAACACAAAGAAACAAAGGCAATTAGAATAAAGTCAGTGGTTTTCTGGACCATGTGTTATGAAATAAATGCATAGATTTAGAGTAAATAAAAAATTTCAATATTCATATAAGTAGGTAAAAAATGCATGGTATGCTTCTTTACCACACTGTATGTAATTTCCAAAAGGAGTAGAGAAGTAACTTTTATAAATAAAATGTATTGAGATAAATATTGTTTTCTTATATCAGTTTGAATGATATATGAAATATTTTATTGCAAAATTCCTTTTAACTAAGTGGGCTAGTGTGTAATGTTATTAGGCCATGTGACTGTATTTATTGCTATGACTGGAATGAAACAGACAAAAATAAAATAAAAAAATAATAAGGCTGTGAAAAAGTTATAAAAATTGGCCTAAATGTTGGATACAAACTTCTCTTTTTGGAATAGTTACTTATTTTGTGAAATTAAAAATATAAAATGAAAAGATAAATACTGATGATTATACAGTTTTGTGTAATCTAAATTAAGGTTTAGATCCACTATTACAGAAAAATACCAAATTTACATGAATAAAAGTTTTGACACTTTAGTCCCACATTTGTTTTTGAGAGGCAACATACACTGTTGGACTGAAAAGGACCCATGGAAGAGTCAAAACATTTATCCATGTAAATTTGCTGTTGTTCCATAATAGTAGCTCTAAACCCAATTTTAAAATACTGATGAATTTGGAATCACAGTATCTGTATAGTATGAAGATAACACAAGTGCAAAACCAGGATTTTAGGTCAATGGCTATAGTTATTTGATAATGACTATATAAAGCTATGCCATATAGTTGTTTCTATTTCGTTATAAATTGTAAATTTACCAAAAATATAATTTTTAGATTTAAAAATATTTAGTGGAATTACAAGTTATATCTTTAACATGTTTGTGTTTCAGACATGGTAATATTACTTATAAAAGATATTAATTTCTATAAATACAAATGCAAAAATGGCATTATACTGTAGTTAGGCTAGAAAGGGTTAAAATCTAATAAAATTGTTTTTCGTCAAAAGACTTTAAATACCTGACATTTTCTATTGGAGTTTTTATTTTCATTAAAGTATATAAGGCCATACAGAAAAAAAATGGCTCTCATATGCTAATATTTTAGAAATCAGCAGATGACTAGTTTTTTTACTTGTCAGGTTACTACATAACTTTTTACCAAGGCCACCTTCCTGAGAAACTAATTCTCACTTTGGGAACACTTAATGAGGTCAAATATTTGTCATGATCTGATTGGTTTTTATTCTGAACAACCTTCTTTTACTCTTTGACAAAAGAATAAACGTTCAACCAACAAGAAAATTTAGCATTTTTACAGTGTTCATTATTATTTTCTGAATCATTGTAAAGTAGGTTTAGAAAAAAAGCTATATTTTAAAAGATCTTGAACTGATTTTTGTTTAGAGGGAACTTATGTTAACCCTCCATTCTTTAGTTTAAAATTTATCAACTATATTGTTATTGTCGGTATTCAATATATATTGGTTGTCATCCTCTTGGTTTAAGTAATGCTGTCAAGTTATTCACAAAAAAAAGTTTTTTTATATGATTGTAATGAAGATTAAACTTAAGTTATTTGATTACCTGCATATTATTTAAAATCAACTACATAACTAACTTTGCATGGCCTAATTCTATATATTTTTTTTCACTAGTCATGCTACAAATAAAATGAAAAACTGTAATATTTAAAGATTCGTAACTCACCATGTCTAGAATCTGTAACTTAAATCCATATGCTGGCCCTCTTTTAGCTCCATTCATATAATTCCCAAATGCTAGGATTATCTTTGAGAAAAAAAAAAAAAATTATGCACAAACAATCAAAACATATCAGTCATTGATTAACATATAATTATAATCTTCATAGTGTCTATTAACAGGAAGGATATATTTTATCCACAAATATTGAGCCTCACCTCTAATATCTTTCTTATTTTCTTGGAATTCTTTATTGATCTTGAAGCTGTGATGATGGAATGAACTTGCTGGAAGGTGGATTCATGAAAATATTATAAACTGTTTAAGTCTGATATATATATAATCATCATCTCATTACATACAATTAGTACAATATAACAATTAAACAAATGTACCCATAGGTGTGGTCCCAGCTTTAAAAGCAACATAATTTAACTACTAAAATTATGTATTACTATTACAAATGATTGAGAACATTATATTAAAATTATTTTGAATATGCAAATCAGCAAGTCACATGACAACCACTATCGATATAAAGTTGTGGCAGCAAGGTATCAATCAGAACAGCATTTTGAAGTTGTTTGGTGTTTCACAAGTAATGTGATATCAAGAAAAATGTTTCACACTTGGAAAGGGTGTGTAACAGCCCTTTCTGATGCAAAATATTCTTACACACTGATCATAATACATGTTTAGTTCAGGGATTTAAAGTTTTCAAGAGGGAAATATCCTATACATTTAATGATATTGAAAAACAAAGGATTACAGATTAACTTGGAAGACCAGAATCATCCAGAAAAGGACCTGAAAGAAGTTGTACCCCAAATGTGGTAAGCAAAATGTGATATCTTGTAACAATTGAGAACCCCAAAAAACAAAAGTCAGTAGCAAAAGCCATCCATATGCTTCAGCCAATAGTATGCAACATAATCAAGAAGGATCTCTGTCTCGAAATGCAACTCAAATCATGTGTATGCAAAGTGCTTTAATGTTCAGGAAGGGAAGACCAACTGTAGAAAACTGCATGAATGGTACCTAGCATGGGTATGTAGATGTACCTTGATAATTGTAAGAATTGATGTGCCATTTTGTATGAGTCAATGGGTGATAGAAATTTCAAAATGTGGTACATTGCATGTCGCAAAACTTTTTTTTGATATTGCACTAAAAGAAAGTTAGGGATCAGGAGAGTGGATACAAAGGTCAAGGTGAATTATACTTATTATCAGACCGATGTACTGAACTATTTGTACAGTTCAGAAATATCAGCTTTGTGTGAAAATGAGGCCAATAAGGTATGGATTCACCAAGATAAGGCTTCCAATCATACCTCTTGTTCAACCATCACATACATCAAGCAGCTGGAGAATATAACAGGTATACAGACTATTCCATATGAAGAAATACTGGTCAAGTTACCAGACACAGCCCTTATGGATTTCTGTTGGCTGCTGAAATAGCTGTTGGGAAACCATCCTCATACATTATATGGATTATGGAGAAGCTACAAAGAAGACTAGCGTGCTTTGGACATGATAGCCTTACGTCAGAGCCTTTTGCAACGGAAACTACACAGCAGGGATATTGTAAAGATGTATGGCTATCAGAAAAACCATGACTAGGTATGGTGACATGGACTGTAACAGCTTGGATCAGCCCCAAAATTCGTTTTCATATAATGTACTAAGCCCTCTGCAGTATCTTTAATTTCAATTTCACCATATTTGCAAAACACAGTGTTAGAGGTGATGGAAAATTATTATAAAAGTGTGAATATATTTTTGGGGATTTTTCTTATCATTATATCATTATAATGAAGAATGAGGAGAATATCAAAAATAAGCCAATTTTGTGTAATGTAATAATTGTACAGTAAGTAACTTTTTATATAAAAAAATATCTTATTAATAATCAGTATGAAAAATAACAATGAATTTGTTCTAAATCGTTAATAAGTAGCATAAAAATACATATTCTTACATAAAGAAAGTAGATCATTCAATTAAGCTACTAAATAAACAATGATACACATTTTGAAATGCAGATAAGTTGGGTGTTGTAAATTTTAAGTCTACTAACCGGTGTGATAAGCTGAATATTCTCACCAAAACTTGCTATGTAACTCATGATGTTAAGTTTCTGTGACAGTCTCTCAACTTTGGAAAGCTGTAAGAACAGAAATATTAACATTTCACTATATATATGCTTTCAAAATAGCTGATGCCTTATATCAGTTAACATAAAATCTAAGTACGTTACTATGTTCTGAGCACACATACACTTATTCACAATTAACTTTTATATACATGTTTACAGGACTTATTAAAAATACATTAATGGTTTAAAATCTCAAATCTGTGATTATGAGAATCATTAAATTTAACACATTGGTATGATACTTATGATTTACATCTTCCTACATGGATGCTGCCACCAGGAGGCTACATGGGCCATGGCCCACTCACTTTTCATACTTGAGGATGGTAAATATGATCTGGTCCTCTCCCACATTTACAATAAGAAAAAACAGATACATATTATATTACTATTTTAATTTATTTAATGACCTATTCAGTAGTGTGGTGCTGTTGTATATTTTAGGCATTGTTTTTAGTAGCCATGGTCAAAGGCACATTCTTTTTGAAATATTATAAAGATAATTTTTTTCTTACAAGTGTTTGTGTCAGTGATAAATATTTAGTTTTTTTTTATTCTGACATCTACTATAAATGACAGACTGACAGTTAATGTTTATAAGAGTATTGCTAAAGTGGTTGATATGCAGATTTATGACTTATTCTGTTATAGGTCTGCTCTGTCCAACACTATACCCTTCTCACTTTTATATTCATGATAGCATCCTTGTTTTCCTATAATAGCCTATATGAAATAGTCAACAAATATAAGATACAAGTGATATTTTCATATAATATGAAAAAATATAACCCAAGAATTTAAAGAAAACTGTGAAATATATTTTACAATTCATGGTTTGTACCTTTGATAAACAGCTCAAAATTATTTACTGGTTTTATGAATTCATTATTGTTTTACCATAAATCTGTTAAATGTAGAATTATAAGTTATACTAAACCTTCTAAAAACTAGCAAAATAAAAAAGTAGGAAAAAAACTTCCAGAAAGACTTTACTACATTAAAAACAGCAAAGTTGTAAAACTTTCTTATCACATTACAGCAAACTTCAATAAAATTACAAAAGAATTGTGTTTTGATGTTGATTTTTAACAATTTTTGTATTAAAATTAGACTAAGAATAAAAGAAATAACCGATCAAGGCATGTGTGAATAACACTTTCTTCTCCCAGTCAAACCTTGCCCGAATACTTCATTTCTATCATATTCTACTTTATAACCTTGTACTTACAGTCCTTACCTATGGCTTGATTGTATTTTAACATTAATGACAATATACACAGCTACCAATAAGTAAACAGACATCTCCCAGAAAACAAATCAAAGAATTAGCTTAGTAAAGACAACATGAATACAAATAATCATGCCAAGAATGTAAGAATCCCAAGAATTACCCATATTTTCACTAGGTCACACAGTTGGAGAAAAGGTTAATTGTGTTTGATATTCCCCAGCTATTATGGAATAATTCACTATGAAAAGGCTCCCCAAGCAAGTTTCATAAGCATGATAAAGAATAAAAGCAAAACCTTTGCAAAAGATTTGGATCAACTAAAAGTTATTCTACCTACAAATGTCAATGGATAATAGATTTACTGGAACACTATCAGTATTTGA